TGGGTAAAATCATCTATAAAAGATACAAAATATTTATGACCGTCATGAGTATTATCGGCCATTTGCGCACAAACATCGCTATGGATGAGCTCAAGTGGTCGTTTTGTCTTAATTAAAACTTTCCCTTGTTTGCTTACCCATGACACATGGTTCACAGATCATCTTACCAGATGCCTCTGAAGACTGTTGAATTCTCAACCCGTCCACCATATCATGCATTTCAAGTTTCAACAGATTTGCCATCCCCAGATGCCCAAACCTTTTATGCCATTGACTTAAATTGTCCTCCATCTTGTTCAGAAATGCACTCTCTTTTGTTCTTAACACAAAGTTAAGGTTATACAAACCATTCACTTTCTTGCCTTCAGCGACTTTCAACCCAGATTTATTCAAAATGGTGACACCACCACTTTTGAATACGACGGAATTTCCAGCTGACTCTAATTGAGAAACCGATAGGAGATTGGAGCTCAAATGAGGAACGAACAACACGTTGTACAGTGTAATATTCACTTCTCTATTTCCAGAATCAACGTAACTTTTCACTTGAATATTCCCGGTGATATTCCCCAACAGTTTATCACCTTGTTTGGCCGTTTCGATGTTAACCATCTCGGAATCCCACATCTCATTGAACGCACGAAGGTTGTTCACCATGTGCCGGCTGGCACCAGAATCCAGGTAGATTGGGAACGGGACTGGCATAGTTGTGAGGTCCATCATCTGCACATACTGGTCCGCAACGGCATCCTTCAAAGGCTGACTCCATGGATCGCCGCGCTCATGGCGAATCTTCCCAATCCAGCTCAAGTTAATACGGTCAAACGGAATGTCCACCTTCACAGATCCATTATCGCGAGACACCACCAAACTTTTCGGATCAGCTTCCACACTTTCGTTCCCTGTCGCATTCGCAACCAGGGCGATGTCAGCTTGCGCATTCTGCTGTTCACGCTTCTTCTTCTTGAACACAAAGCAATTCTGCCGCTTATGTCCTCTGACGCCACACTCGTAGCATACGCAGTTTTTCATTGCTTCGTTCTTCTGCTGGTACTTATTCTTCGGCTGGTTCTTCTTCTCCTGGTGACCCTTCTGCTGGTACTGCTGCCGGTTCAGGAATGCTACCGCCGATCTGTTCGCGTCCGAATCTGGTTTGCTAATGTTGCAAGCTGCATCAAAGAAGATCCTTTTTATTTGCTCCATGGACATGTTATTTAGCTCCTCTCTTCTCAGAATGGAGAGAGCCCCAAGCAAATGTTTGTAAGCATCTGGAACTGCTACAAGCAATGAATTCATTTGCTCTTCATGAGAGACTTTCTCTCCCATACTAGTTAGCTGACGCACAATCTCTTCGTGAGAAGAGAATAACTTTTGTAGGGATTCAAAATTCTCATTTTTCAGCAGGTACAACTGCGAACGAAGACCGAGCATGGCCACAGGCCCTTTCGGCTGAAAAATTCCATCAAGCTTGTCAATGACTTCTTTGGCAAATGTACACTGAAAAACATGAGCCATTGGATCATCATCCAGTGCCATAAACAAATCGTTAATGGCAGCTCTGTCATCTTTCAAGCGTTTGGCAAATTTAATTTCTCGTTCCCTTTCCTGCTCTGCCGTAGCATTCGCTACCGGATTAGCAAATTCTTCTTCTTCTGGTCGTTTCTCCAGAACGTAAAACAATTCTTCTTGTTTTAAATAATGTTCCATTCGCTTCCTCCAGAACGGGTACGACTTTTCGTCCCCTCTGAAAATTGGAACAACCACTCTTCTAGACCTATCCATTGCTCAAAAATTTGAACTATTCAACCAAATACTTAGTCTGAAAAATGCCAACAAAAATGCTTTGTCTGAAAATTCCCCAACAACATTCTTCGTCTGAAAATTCCCCAACAAAATACTTTGTCTGCGCCGATAACCTGTTGAAGTGAGCAGTCAGTAGCAAGGTGGAATTTTCGAGAATCTTCTTTAATCAATTTCTCTTGAAAGACTCGAGGAAAGACTTCAACGAGAAATTTGATTTGAAGTATTTAAGCGAAGAATTCAATGGAAAACTCCATCTGAATTCTAACCTCCTAAATAAGAATTTCTTTCGGTGTATTTAGTTTAAATCATAAGATTTAAATAAACTTCAAAGCTTGCATTTATTAACTCAACCTTAGCAAAGTACTATACTATACTCTACTTGTAAGTGAATGAAGTTACCTTTACAATATCAGCTTTAGATATTCATTCTTCCTCTACTTGTTTGCTATTGTGACTTATAATATTCTTCTGTCTTCTCCTAAATATAGGGCTGGTAGCTATTATTGTCTCTTCTTATATCGTGGAACCTTAGAAATGAACTTCTAATATAAAAGAGGGATTACCCGAATAAAAACTTATTCCAGAGATCCGTGTTAAAATAATAAATGGTTCAATTCTATAACTTACTTACTCAAGTCTCAAGATTTTCGGAAATTTTGCGCTTATTTCCCGAAATTCACAAGTTTTTTTTATTGTTTACATTTTTGTCCGGGTGAAAACGAGGGAATTGTTGGTAGTTATTTTTGCATTCATGGCCCGGGGAATGGAAATAGCAAATAAATGCTAAATTAAAATTACCTATTGTTGGCTTAATAATTAGAATATTGTTATTTTTACAATAGTTGCAGTTGAAAAGAGGCTTATTAAAACAAAACAAAAATCTTATTTTGAATTTATATGAATAAGTATTATTGTAACAACTAAATGCAATATAATTTCAACCGGAATTGTTTGTTTAAATACAAATAAAGTTTTTTTTTTGGTTCAATGCAAACAATTTTATGTCCGTGTTACACACCTTTGTAGAAACCTTATGTGCGGGGTTAAACGTCATCAACTGAGAATTCCCGCGTCACTTTTCAAATACACCAATGTAACAAATGTAAACAAATCGAGTTAAGCGATACAAGCTATTGCTCTTCTATCATTGTATGTGATACAAAAACACCCATCCAAATTTACCTTCATTTATTTAAGAAAATCATCGATCAAAAATTGTCCAATGTACAGTTTGAAATGATGGGTATATGATTGTTACTTCGGTCATTCGGACTGCCTAACATGATTGGTGCTCATTTTCCAAAGGCGGGGCCAACCTAAAGTTAGGTACTATACTCTGAAATCTGTGAAAGGGAATCTAGTATCATGTAGACAAAACGTCCAATGTAACACTCATTGATTATATCATTGAGAAAAATCGTCCAATGTAACAAGTCCGATGTACAACGCGACTTGTCAAAACGTCCTATGTGGTTTTTTCTATGTTGTAGCATGAAATTCAAAGTAAAATTGTGATTTTACCGTTTCTTCTGCATTTTCAACGTTATATTATACACTGACTACATTAAAAATAGTATTGCAAAATGTATTGTTTCTAAACAGTTAAAATAATAATTTGTCGAACTTCAACTTCGATTTTCTCAAAATGGTGGATATGTTACATTGGTCTATTTGAAAAGTGACGCGAGAATTTAACAATACTTCAGCAATCTCTATATACGGTAAGAAAAAAGTTCCCAAAAGTAAGTTCTTTTCACTCATCTCGGCACTATAGTCATAGAGATAACTCTAAAGGCCCACGCACATTAGATCCGGATCGGACGCGTTGCGGCAAAGTGACAGCTAAATCTATTGTCTAACTGTCAAATTTACGTCAACGCAACGCAAACGGATCTAATGTGGGTGGCCCTTAAGACAAGTAGGTCCCGAAGAAACGTGCTCAACTTTTTGGCTCACCTCTGGTACTATCTTCGGTCCCAAGCTTGTCGAATCACCCCTCGAAACATAGGAAAAACCAATAACCCCTCATTTTATCTGTCAAACTTTCATAGCGAATCAAAACAAACATTGCGTAGTACTAGAATTTCGGCTAGAATAGGGTACGTTAATCGTTTGCTTATTGCCACCTAATGTTTTTTTTTTTAATATTCTTCTTGGACACAATATTTATATATAAAGCATTCATTCGTTTCTATTGAAATGGGTAAGGTTTACTCAGTTGATAAATGTCATCATCTGAGTAATCGTTACCCAGTTTCCACCATAGACACGTTTACTCGAATTTGAGTAAACGCATGTTCCCTTTTGGCTGGACTGAGGCGTTTTTGACTAAAAACAGTAATCTCAAAATGGCATGTATACACTAGAAATACTCAGAGGGAGAGATAGGCGGAGAAAACAAAATACAATTCGGCAGCAGGGATTTGTACCTAAATTATCTTGCAACCCTTGGTAGAAGCCAACATTTCACATGACTTTTATTTTTGATTCGATTTACGTGCAAAATAATAATTGATTGCATCGCAATATTTTGCACATTTCTTGGTGCCATTAATTAACCAACTAAGACCAATTAATCAATAGAGTTCGAATATTGTTTTTGATTCCAAAAACTAGTTGAATTTGAGAAGCACACGAAGCATAAAGGTGATTGAATTTCTGTTCGATTCAATACTCTCATATTTTATCTAGTAAGAATAAGAAATCATCGGACAAATTCTAATAAGAATGTTCGATTGGCTCAGATTTTGGCAGTTCATTTGGCTCAAAACCTTCTCTCCGCCCATCTCTCCCTCTGAAGGCCGGCGCACAATAGATACGTTTTCGGGTTTTTTGAGAGATAATGCATGGGCTAACTGTCAAAAAACCCGAAAACGTATCTATTGTGCGCCGGCCTTGAGTATTTGTAGGCTGTGTTCCATTTGGTGAATTTTCACTTAAATTTGACACTTCGAAAATAAATTAAGATGTTCGAAAATCCCTCTGTTGTTGATCTTCCTATTTTCGAGAAGGTGTTTGTCAAAATTTATTCATCGTCTGTCAAAAATATGTCCGGTACAATAGCAGGTTTATTTGAAAATTTTCCATCTGTCAAATTTAAGTGAAAATTTACCAAATTTACCAGCCCTAGTATACACGACCTCTAGGACCTAATGCAATGTTCAGCTTGACATGTAGTTTTTTTTTTATCGTTTCAGAAACCGTACGCAGGAAGTTCTATAAAAGTGTAGCTATTAGCTTGAATGACTTCACGGAGCTCAACCCGATCAGTCCTGTGCAACTGTTGGTAGAAACTCTTAACTCCAAGAAAACGCTTCCGGTTGATATGCTCCCAATTATACTGAGAAATTTATCGGAATATCTGCAAAGTTTACCGATAGATAACATCAGTGCGAATATTTGGGCTACAGCAGTGCAAGGAGTCGATAGCCTTTTCCGAAGAATTGTTTTCATTCTTCCAAGTCTTGATGAAGCAGATAATTTGCTATGCATAATGACATCGATGCTTAAAGTTCCACAACTTTCAAAGGTAATGTATGCTAAAGATCACTCCATGGAATGTAACCTAAATCACCCCCTAGTCATTTCTTCCCCACAATCTTTGACAATTCTGCCGGGTTAATTTAGGCACCCATTCATTGCTATCTCGTTTACTCTCATGGATAACGAAAATATCAGAGCGAAAAGTATAAGGTTAGCTTTAGCGCTAGGGGCACGCAATGACTAAGGCTCTGAACCATTTGGTGGATTATTTTAACTTTTGGTTAAAATTTGACAGATTGAAAGTTATCGATTAAGGCTCTGAACCATTTGGCGAATTTTTTTAACTTTTGGTTAAAATTTGACAGATGGAAAGTTATTGATTAACCCTGCTATCCGAGCATGGTTATTTCTGACAGACAAGAAGTTAAATTTTGACAACCGTGGCTGAGTTCTGCTCGAAAACCGATCGATCGGTAGCACAGGGATTTTCGAACATAAGAAATAACTTTCGAAATGTCACTTTTAACCACGAGTTAAATTTAACTCGGCAAATGGTTCACAGCCTAACCCTGCTATCCGAGCGTGGTTACTTCTGACAGACAAGAAGTTAAATTTTGACAACCTTGGCTAAGGCTCTGAACCATTTGGCGATTTTTTTAACTTCTGGTTAAAATTTGACAGATGGAAAGTTATTGATTAACCCTGCTATCCAAGCATGGTTATTTCTGACAGACAAGAAGTTAAATTTTAACAACCGTGGCTGAGTTCTTATCGAAAATCGGTTAACCAAAAGTCAAAAAATAATCGCCAAATGGTTCAGAGCCTTAGGCTGTGAACCATTTGCCGGGTTAAATTTAACTCGTGGTTAAAAGTGACATTTCGAAAGTTATTTTCTATGTTCGAAAATCCCTGTGTTGTCGATCGACCAGTTTTCGAGAAGAACTTAGGCTGTGAACCATTTGCCGAGTTAAATTTAACTCGTGGTTAAAAGTAACATTTCAAAAGTTATTTTCTATGTTCGAAAATCCCCATTAGGTTTTGCACCGTCGGGGTTAACCTCAATCTGATGACAGTTCAGTGGTACTGTTTACGTGGACTTAGTCGATTTTTTCTTGGGTGGATTTTCTCGATAATTTTTCAGACTGCAGTGAGATGTAAACAGCATTTCTGTAATGTTCACGAGCAACATCCTTGCAACGCGCTGTTCCTCGACAATTTTCAAGTTAAAATTCAAAAAAATTAGAAATTTTTTTTCGAAAAAACGACTAAGGCTGTGAACCATTTACCGAGTTAAATTTAACTCGTAGTTAAAAGTGACATTTCGAAAGTTATTTCTTATGTTCGAAAATCCCCGTGCTGTCGATCGACCGGTTTTCGAGCCACGGTCGTCAAAATTTAACTTCTTGTCTGTCAGAAATAACCACGCTCGGATAGCAGGGTTAATCGATAACTTTCCATCTGTCAAATTTTAACCAAAAGTTAAAATAATCCACCAAATGGTTCAGAACCTAAGTGCTTGTAAACAGTACCACTGAACTGTCAAAAAGGTTCAGCCGATTAACACTGAGTTCATTTATGACGTCACGCTGCAGTACCTAATGCTGTCGATCGACCGGTTTTCGAGCCACGGTTGTCAAAATTTAACTTCTTGTCTGTCAGAAATAACCATGCTCGGATAGCAGGGTTAATCAATAACTTTCCATCTGTCAAATTTTAACCAAAAGTAAAAAAAAATTCGCCAAATGATTCAGAGCCTAAGTGCTTGTAAAAGTACCACTGAACTGTCAAAAGGGTTCAGCCGATTAACACTGAGTTCATTTATGACGTCATAATAGGATGCTGCACACTGACGTCACGAATGAACGCGATGAACCCGAATTCATCAGTTTGACATCCAATGGTGGTTTGCTTACCTTTGCTTGTTAGTCAATTAGGTTCTGCAGCGTGACGTCACGAATGAACTCAGTGTTAATCGGCTGAACCTTTTTGACAGTTCAGTGGTACTGTTTACAAGCACTTAGTCGTTTTTTCGAAAAAAAAATTCTAAAATTTCCGAATTTTAACTTGTAAATTGTCGAGGAACAGCGCATTGCAAGGATGTTTCTCGTGAACATTGCAGAAATGTGGTTTACATCTCACTGCAGTCTGAATAATTATCGAGAAAATCCACTCAAGAAAAAATCGGCTAAGTCCACGTAAACAGTACCACTAAACTGTCATCAGATTGAGGTTAACCCCGACGGTGCAAAACCTAATTCAAGTGGATTTCTCGATGAACATTTCAAATAGTCATATCTGCTTTAATCGATTCTCTTCATCGAATTTCCCTTTTGATAACCACGCCTACGCAAATGCATTTGGTGCTAATTTTGCCACACAGTTTGATAGCTTCAGTTCCTATCTGGTGCTTAGAACGTTGAACACAGCAGGGCATGCTTTTGAAGTTGAGTTATTAATGGAAGAGAAAGTCGATGAAGAGAACCGTTCAATGCTGGTAGGACCTTTTGAAATGTTTATCTAGATTTGAGGTTTTAAATAAAAAGAATTAAAAGATATGATATCCGACTATGTTCATTTGAAAAATATTCCTCTCCAATAAATCTAAAAAAAATTAATAAATTTTTTAAACTTTTTTTTCTAAGTCCATGTAAACAAACCACTGCCAGATGTCAAAAAAGTTAGGTTACCCCGACGGTGCAAAACCTAATGTTTGAAATGACGTTTCACATTCTTCTAGTGATGGCCGATTTACATTCGAATAATCGATTAATCGATTAACGAACCGAAAAGTAAAATATTTGTAATCGGTTATATCATGGCGATATAAGCATTAACTTCTTCAGAGGATCATCACCGATCGTTTCAAACATGTGCTGCACTCTCATTGGTGGAAAAATGACAGCACAGCGAACAAAAAATAATCGCAGCCAGACACCGGACAATGAAAACCATAATAAAGATTATTTTTCTAGGGCTTAGCTATGAAAATAAAATAAATCACTAACCCTCTAGCCAGGGTTGCTTCCACTCACTTGCTATAAAAAAATATTTTTCGGAATTATGCAATCATTAGATGTTATAATGATATGTTGTACTAGTTAGTAACAAGAAGAGGGTGTAAAGTATGTGTTTGAGTCATAAAACCTGTCAATTTCGCTTTCAGAGCGTCACAGTCAGCGATCTTATGATTCGTGAGCGTTCACTCAGAGTGAGCGCTCACGAGTCGTAAAATCGCTGATTGTGACGCACTGAAAGCAACATTGACCGATTTTATGTGTCAAACATATACTTCATGCCCTCTTCTTGTAACTTACAAGTACTAATTAGCATTATACTATTTCATGGTTTCATTATTCCGAAAAAACATTTTTTTATAGCAAGTGAGTGGAAGTAACCCTGCCTCTAGCTTGTCCACCGGTGCTCTGTTACAGTTGGACTGCAGTTTCCCAAAAAAAATATTAAAATTGCTGAAAGTTTTTCGCTTAGGCAAATGGCGTCCATCAACGAAGCAGAAGTTTTTTTTTACCCTTTAATGAGTATACACAAATACACATTTTTTGACTGGTACTATGATCTTAAAATGTGTATTTTTTTACACATTTTAAAATCTCCAAATTTGCACATTTTTTGACAGCTGCATGTAAACATAAAAAAATATACTCATTAATGTGTTTACGCCAGGTACCTGGCATCCCTATCTTGTTTGCCTTGCCTTGAAAAGAGCTAACATCGCTGCGGACCCGCGAATTGCGGGCCCCACTGACAGCTCATAATTTGTAAACAAATAGAAGATTCAAGCCAGAATTTCAAAAAAGGCGTGACTGATATTATGGATATTCTTAATATTGTTGCTTACATTTTGTAAAAAAATAAACTTAGGACTCATAAAATATTATTTTCTGATTTTCTTCCACGAAGTCAACCATTTATATGGCATAAAAGGGAAAATAATTTCATTTGATAAAAATAAGACAATTCAGTCACGCCATTTTTGCAGTTCACACTGGAATTGTGACGTTTCAGATGTTGGTTTCAATAACATGGCGGCATGCCAGCCAGCTGGTTTACGCTGGTTACCGTGCTGTTTACAAGCACTTAGGCGGCACTCGAAGATAAATTAAAAAAAAAAGGTTAAAAAGTATGCAGATTCCCGCTTCATCTTATTGAGTCCGAGCCATGATTACTTCGGCAGTAGTCATGCATGATTAAATTCGAAATAATCTTTCCAGTATTAAATTTTATTCTTTTTCAATATTGATATATAATCAAAAAAGATGGAAATTTACCATCAAAAATTATTAAAATAGCATCAAATATGATTAAAGTTTATTAAAAAAAAAGATAATCTACAATCTAATCAACCATGATTAAACTAAGATTAATATCAGATGCTTAATTTTTTGAAAGAGAGGATTAATTTTTAATCATTCGATACGATTTGACACTTCTAAAATAAATTAAGATTTTCGAAAATCCTTTTGTTGTTGATCGGCCGATTTTCGAGAAACTTCTTTCTTCTTCTTCGCATTTCAAACTTATTGCATATCGCATATTAGCTTATTGCGTGCTCTCAATTTAGTGTTCTAGATGCACTTCCACAGTTATTAATTGAGAGCTTTCGATGCCTGTACCATTTTTGCATTGGTATAATTGTGTGGCAAGTCCAATCATACTTCTATGCCCAGGGAAGTCGAGAAATTTTCCAACCCGAAAAATTCCTAGACCGGACCGGGAATTGAACCCAGCCACCTCCAGCATGCTCTTGCTTTGTAGCTGCGCCTTTTGAAACGTCCCTCGTTTCCACGAACGTGATATCTCATCAAATTAATTGATGTGCTTTGTTTTAGAGTTCAAAAGACAATGGTAGTTGGTTTTTATTAATCCTTTTTCAAGTTTACAGTTTTCCTACTGGAGACGCTTGGAGACAATTATGTAAAATCGTTATGTAAACGATCGATGTTCGCGGGAGATAGAATGATAAAAAGGGAGAGAATGTGGAGAAGGCCAAGTGCGCTTGACAACGATGCGATCAGTGCGCCGTTGAATAAGTGAAATATGACCATGGCACTTTTGGTGTCATGTTAGAATTATTGGAAACTGTTTGAAGTCATCGAACCACTTTATGCACACATTGCATTCGTTGCATAAGCAGTTCGATGGCATGGGAATAATTGATTTCTCACGATGTGCTGGATGGGATTCGATGACATGTGGAATGCACACGTCACACTTTACCGACTGAGCTAAGGGAGGGATTTTCGAGAAAGTGTCTGTCAAAGTTGATTCCTTGTCTGTCAGAAATAAGTCTGCTGGAATAGCAGGTTTATTTGAAAATTTTCTATCTGTCAAATTTAAGTGAAAATGGAACACAGCCTTAGTAATTTTTTTTCGAAAAAATAAAAAAATATTCTGAAATTTCTGAATTTTAACTTGAAAGATGCCGAGCAAAAGCGCGGTGAAAGGATGTTGCTCGTGGGCATTGCACAAGTGTGGTTTACTCTCATTGCAGTCTTAAAAATTATCGAGAAAATCTACCCAAGAAAAAATCGTCTAGGTCCACGTAAGCAGTACCACTGAACTATCATCAGATTGAGGTTAACCCTCGGTTGTTATCAAATAAGAAATTTCAGCGGCGCCAGTGGTATAGTGGTAAGCGTAATTTCCTGTCACCCCAGCAGGCCTGAGTTCAATCCCAGTCGGCGCAACCAGGATGTTCTGAGGCATAACATCTCTGATCACGCCTTCCTTCTGAAGGGAAGTAGAGCCGTTGGGGCCATACTTTCCTGATAAATGGAAAAATGCAAAAGTTGTTCCAATTTTGAAGCCGGATAAAAATCCAGCTGAAGCTTCTAGCTACCGTCCAATAAGTTTGCTTTCTTCAATAAGTAAACTTTTTGAAAAAATAATTTTGAATAGAATGATGCTTCACATCAATACGAACTCAATTTTTGCAGATGAGCAGTTTGGATTTCGCCATGGGCATTCAACTACTCATCAACTCTTGAGAGTTACCAATTTAATTCGTTCAAACAAATCTGAAGGCCACTCAACTGGAGTTGCTCTTCTAGACATAGAAAAAGCATTCGACAGTGTTTGGCATGAAGGTTTGATTGCTAAATTGAAAAAGTTTAATTTTCCACTTTACATTATGAAATTAGTTCAAAATTATTTAACTGACAGAACTCTGCAGGTAAATTATCAAAATTCCAAATCTAATCGACTACCTGTTAGAGCAGGAGTTCCTCAGGGTAGCATTCTT